AATAAAACAAATAAGACTTTCTCCAGAAGAAAAAATATTATCAGACATACTGTAGAAATTTCCTTGCTCTGTTAAACATCATTTGGGAAATATTTAAAAATCAAAAGGGGGCTAATAATTCTGACTTCAACTGTATATGTATATATTAGGACTGCACAGTATATCGCTTTAGCATCGATATTGCAATGCGATCATTTGCAAGTCACATTGCAGGATTTGGAGTGCTGAGTCTGAATTATAATCTATCATTTGCATGGGTTTTTGAGGCCTGTGTAACTTTAATAAAATGTATTGTTTTTAAAAGTATTAAACATTTTATTATTCAATTACTGTACCTGAATACTGTTAGACACTAAATACGATAAAACTTTACTTGTTTCAATTGTAACTTTTTCTTTATTGTATTTATCTATGCTTTTAATTGATTTCATGCAGACGCATATATATATATATATATATATATATATATATATATATATATATATATATATATATATATATATATATATATATATATATATAGATGATAGTGTCGTGTATCTGCGAAAGATATTGCCGAGTACTGAGACCTATTTTAAAGACTGTATTTAGCTTGTTTCACATTAATGTAGACCTTTTTAAATATTTTAATGAAAATTTTGAATATTATTATTATATTAGATTTTTTTTAATCCTCATCATTATTAAAAATAAAATAAAGGCCACGACTGAACATAGAGGACGATCTGGAAGTGGCGGTCTTTAAAATTAAACCAAGAATTATTTTGTGCTTTAAACATTGTGCCCACCTGTCGTATTTAAGTAAGGTTAATATTAAATTAAACATATAAATAATGACTATAAAAAAATATACGGTTGTTAGACTGTTGCACTTTCTTGTGTTGTAAATACGCTCATGTTTATGAAGTTTTTATTGGTGTGTGTTCACCATTGTGTGCAATGTTTGAATGTTTATAACCACCTCCGAGGATAGTGTGGGTCTCCAGTCACTGGGATTGTCATTTTGGGGGTCGTTCGCTGAAAAGTTTGGGAACCCCTGCTGTAGACAGTCGAAAAACAATGTAACAATATTGACCTTTAAAATGGCTTTAGAAAAGTTCTGCTTTTATTCTAGCCAAAAGAAAACAAATCAGAACAAATAATATAGGAAATACTTAGAAAATTCTTTCTCTTTTAAACACTAAAAAAAAATTCACAGGAGACTTGATCATTTTGAGTTCAACTGTATATCGCACAACAAAAAATGATTGATGATTTATCGTGACAGGCGTAACCCACCCAACCGTAATGATGAGTTAAGTGTCTGTTCAAAGCACATTAGAGCGAGTGTGTGTTTCCCCTTAACGCGTGATAATCTCTGTGTGTCTTCTCACTCATAATTGGAATTGACACTCGCCATCGGGTGGCCGTAGATGACAGGAGAACTGCATCTGTTATCAGCAGGCTTACCAGTGACCCTCCGTTCATGTGTACGGGACCCTGCGTTACCCTTTACAGCACCACAACAACTGAACATTTCCCCTGTTAAAGCCTGGGTTAGGCAGAGGGCTCGCAAAGGTCTCGCAGAGGGGGGTTTTTATGGTTATTTGGTGTCTTTCGGAGGAAGTGGGTCGGTTTCAGGATGTGTTTGAGAGGGTTGAAGCCGTGGGTCTCTTGCTGCGTCCTTTGGAGGATTAAGCGCGTCTATCAGACCCGAGGAGAGAAAGTCATCCGAAAGGTTGAGATGTTCAGAAGCTGCGCCGAAAGTTATAAAAAGAAAAAAGATAAAAGGTGAGGTGGGCTTTTGAGTCGTGCAGAGTTTCTGTAGAGGGTGGTGGTGGTCGAGGCCATTGGTTGTTGGTTGCTATGGTGATTTTACTTGGTGTTTCAAAAATAATCAATCAATCAATCAAAAAAAAGAGTTAACGGTTTGTTAATGACAGTAATTGTCTCTTAGCTAGAATTTGTGTCTTTCGTTCTTTTTTATCGTCTTTAACTTAACACATTTAAATGAATTTTTTAATCGTTTTAATTCTTTATTAATTTTTTATTTCATACTTGTGTGATTATTTTATCATTCTTTTAATTTCCTTGTTTATCTATTGTTCATCCTTTAGTCCGTCCGTCCGTCCGTCCGTCCGATCAATAGTTTTTTTGTCGTTCTGTTTGTTTTTAGTTCTGTCGTTCTTTGCAGTTCTTTCTGTTATTAGTTCTGTCGTTAGTTCTGTCGTTTTTCCTGTTATTAGTTCTGTCGTTCTTTCTGTCATTAGTACTGTCGTTCTTTCTGTCGTTCTTTCTGTCGTTCTTTCTGTCATTAGTTCTATCGTTTTTTCTATCGTTATTTTGATCGTTAGTTCTCGTTCTATCGTAGTTGTCATTCTTTCTATCGTTAGTTCTATTGTTAGTTCTGTCGTTAGTTCTATCGTTAGTTCTGTCGTTAGTTCTATCGTTGGTTCTGTCGTTAGTTCTATCATTAGTTCTATTGTTGGTTCTATTGTTCTTTCTATTGTTGGATCTATTG